GGGTTGTTTGCCCTGGGAAGGTCCAAGTTTCATAAGCCTGTAGTATGGTGGCTTGTCACCATAACGCCAAGGTGTTGTGGCTAGCTTCTGTCTGGGATGTCTTGGACACTGGGATGAAGAGCAGTTTCCTGGAACCACGATCAGCCCTTGACCGTCGGATAAAGCACCGAATAGCGTGGGCCAGGCATAAATGGAATTCTGCCTCGTCTTAAGATCCCACAATCGAAGAGGGAGGTGGAATTGTGAAAGATCTGTCAGGCTGTCCTTGGAATTGATTCTTTGCTATGAAATCCCAGCATAGTCCCAGGTGGACGGCTGTGTGCGATGTACATTCAAAATGAACACGGGTGAGCCAACGCAAGGAGGAAAACAGTCTTCTTTATGAGGTTGTAGAAGGAGATGCGTGTAGAGGCTCGAACAACGTCTCCCACAACAACCTAGGTACCACGTTCAGGTCCCAAGCAGGTGGTCTGAACTTGGTCTTCTGGTCCTCTAGTCTGAAAGGGCGCAGCAAAGCTTATAATGCTGGAATCTTGGTCATTTTCCGGTCTTCTGGAATGGCTACCAAATATGTTGTAATGGTATTGCCCTTGAGGTGTCTTTTACTGCACAGAAACAGAAGAAATTCAGCCAAGAATTGGATTGATGCAGTAGTGGGATCCTGGTGTTTATCCTTGCAAAAACTCTCAAAGGATCTCCATTTGTCATCATATAAACCTTGTGTAGAGAGTTTGTGCGCCAAGGTTATGGCTTGGTGCTTAAAGCCCTTTGTAAATGCACCAGGCGTGCAGATGAAAAACTGAATCTGGGTCCAGGTGTGGTAGTCTTCTGTGTGGGTGTATCAGTAGATTTGGCCACTCTGGCAGCTTCAGGGGGTCGTTTGTGGAAATATCTCTTAGGTCCATGAACCAATTCTTCATTGGCCACCAAGGCGTGATCAAAATCACAGAGGTGGTGAGTCGTTCTGATCTTTTGAACTACTTTGGGAAGAAGTACTGGTGGTTGAAAAGCGTACAGGCTTAAGTTTTCCCAAGGGATGCTGAGAGCGTCTACAGCCCATGCTTGTGGATCCGGAAGCAGAGATAAAGTTCTGGCTGGTGGCAAACAAGTGTATGTTTGGATGGCCGAGAAGGTGACATACGAAGTTAAACGCCTCTGGGTGTAGTTTCCATTCCGTGGTAGGTATCCTATCCAGCCTGGAAAGGTCGTCTTCCTGGATGTTTCAGCAGCCCAGACCACCGCCCTGAGATGATCTCGTCCTTTAGATGTGAGCCCCTACCTTGTAGAGATGCATCTACAAAGAGGCATAGGGTGGGTGTTAGATTGGTCAAGTTTACACCTCCTAAGACATTCAACTCTATCATCTACCACCAGAGGTACGTCTTGAGGTGAGATGGATACTGACTGATCCTGGCGACTGATGAATGGGGCTAGGAATAGTTGGATTGGGCGCAGTTGAAGACAACCTCTGGTTGTCAGATCCTGCACTGACGTGAGTAAGCCCGGAAGTACTTGCCACTGGAGAAGTGTGCGGGATTGGTGGAGCACCAGGAGTAGCAGTTGCAGTATCTTTTGCCATCTGTCTTTCTGGACGGATAAGGGGTCCAGGTGTGTCTAGAATAATCCTCCTATGAACTGGAGTGTGCAGGAGTGAGTGAGCTCTGACTTCCGCTCAGTGACAATCCATCCCAGCTCAAGTAGCAGGTATCTAGTGGAATCCCTGAGTAGGATGAGGGTTGTTGGGTCCTGCTGACTTAGGAGACAATCATCGATGTACGACTCCAATTGAATGTTCCTCAGGTGTAGGTAGGCTGCTATTGGCTTGGTTATTCATGTGATTAGCCATGGGGCCATATAAATTCCAAATGGGAGTACCGCCCACTTGTAATGAATACCATTGAAGATAAACCTGAGGAATCGCCTCTTGCTGGGGTGGATAGGTACATGCAAGTATGCAAGACTGATCGAGACTGATCAGGTAATCGTGGGCGCTGATTTTGGTCCTGAGCAGTCTCAACGTTGCCATGTGGAAATGAAGCAGATGTTGCATATAACGTTTGTTGAACAGAGATAGATTTCGGATCATTCGGAATTTGTCAGAGTCCTTCTTGGAAACCAGGAACACTGGAGAGTAAAACCCTGGTGTCAATGTCAGCCCTTGAACTATCTCTCTGGCTCTCTTGTGTAACAATATGTTTATATTGTCCAATAAGATATGATTGACTGTCTATCGATAGCCCCGACGGAGGATGTTGGTGACGAACGAGTCTCCCAGCAAGAGCCAGTTCTTCCAATATTGGCTAAGTTTCCCACCTAAAGAGGTGTCTGTGACTGGAACGGCTGGGGTGGGAGTTCCCAGTTGTTGTGGTCAAGCACTTCATTGCTTGCCCCTCTGGTTCCTCCCTTTGCCAGAGCTTGTCTCAGCAGGGCTGGTAATTCCCAGATTGCCTCCCTCTCTCACGACCTCTACCCTGAAAGAGCTGGTTGGTTTGAGTCTTGAGAGAGTTACGCTGGGGTTGATAGTTTCCTGCCCTTGGACATCTTAATGCCAAATTCGAGAAGCGGCTCCTGGTGAAGTTAAATGTCGATACAAAGTAGCCCTAGAGGTCGAGGCGCTGCCTGAAGTGTCGACAACGATACAGATTAATGTGGCACCAGGATCATCGGTAACGCTGGTTGTGCTGTAGGCAACAGAGGTACAGAGTGTGCTTGCAGTTGAGGTGTTTCTGTCAGGAGAGGCGCTGTAAACTGTGCATTTCCAGGATGTGTGGAGAGTGCTGGCGGTCCGGTAGACAGAGTTATCAGCTGAGGTGCAATCTTCTGCTGAAACAAAGCCTGTAAGAAGGACTGTATCCAACTCGGATCCATGTAGGATGCCAGACATACAACAAACATAAAACTTTGTAAAAATAAACAGAGATCCTTAACTTTTTTCCAGGTGTATATGTTCTTGTCAGCTTTGGGTTAGTTTGTTGCATTTGAAAGTATAAGCATAGACTAGTAATCTGTCTCACAAATGGGGATACCCTAAGTATAATGGCATGTGGCTAAATATGTCATACGATCATTTTGTTGAAATACCATATAATCATACATATGCTAAATACTCAATAGAATTGTGAACCATTAAATATCTGAAATGTCAACAGTATGTTTGTATAATACACCTCTTGTGTTTCATGTTTACTTTAATCTTGGTGGTTGTACTCAATCTAGTGCCACCCTGGGATGGTGGTTGGGGTGTTTATTTGTTTGGTCACATACAAAATACTTCAATTCAGAAATGATGTATACTTACAAAGGAAATAATGTTAAACAATGAAACATGTATTGAGAATGTAGTAAAGACATTTGTGGTGAAAGCATAAAGTATACTTCCACTTGTCATACATGGTAAAGTTTTGGGAGGTGGTCAAAGGCTCTTGAAGTGGCTCTATTTAAGCTGGCAGCACAGCACAGCAGGTAGTTGTATTATCTAGTCCTCCAGCATTTCATTGTTCTCTCATAAGTGGTAGTCACTGTCAGGAATTGTCATTCTCAATAGGCAACAAATCAATATCAACATCAATAAATCTACTCATTTATTCTCTGCACATCACAGTGGGTAACATCAATATTCATATACCACTCTAGTGTGGGAAATACTTGGCAAAAACAACAGTGCCATGGGAATGCACCTCAAAGGTTGTTGTAAGCCTTCATACTATAATATTTTCTATATAAATACTAAGGTTGATGATAGAGTACCACTACAATGTGAGATTTGAACAAAATATGATGTAATCATAAGGAGAAACACACATCTCAAAAAGCTCAATACATTTGAGAGAAAACAAAAGATATGGTAACAAGGTCTTGTTTTACATATTGCACAAGTCAGAACACACTGTCAACAACTTTCAATACATGTACTGCTCACCTAAAAGTTACAAATGTCAACAAAGATAACGACCTTACAAAAGTTGCTGTCATTGGCCATACTGAAAATCACATTGAACCTGTTGAACAAATTGGGGTGGTGGTATACACAAAGCTTCAGCTTCAGTGGTCCAATGGGTTTTTTTAGGTGTGCATTTTGAAAGAATATAAGAGCATGGTCAAATGCTGATGGGCAAAATTTTAAACTGCAAAGGAGAATCCCCAGAACTTATGTTGAACCACACTACTAATTTTGAACATGAATGACTTCCTAAAAAAATGGTCTTATGAAACTTATGTGTGGTCAAAGTACACTGGTCAAATCAATGTCAGACATTATAATATTCTAAAAAGAGAACATATTGTTGAATCCCACCTCTAACTAGATATGCACCACACAATTTTAAACAACAATGACTGAGTAATGGCCATGAATAGCTTTTACAATGCTGCTGCTGTGCTGGCCATATTGACACTGGACTCCTGCTTCTTGCACACATGGGGGTGTCTTAACTGGTATGAACAAGTATATAAGTTTCAGCTTGGCACACATGACAGTAAGGCCTGACATGAGCTCTTTTGATTTTCAGTCAGGAGAGCTAAAACATAGGACAACCACAGCTTTCAGGTAGGAAGTTTACTTTCCTAATCATATTTCAGTGGTCAGTGCGGTGGGAATGTTCAATTACATTAAAGGGGAGGAGTCGAGGAGGGAGGAGCAGGATGTGATTTGATGGCAGAGCATCTGTTATAAGATTTTGGAACACTGACAGATCTGTGTAACAATGGAGGAGAGTTATCCTTGAGGTAACAACAATAACTATACTCACATACAGTGTACAATCATGGACACATTTCCGCTCCTACGTCTGGCACTAGCCGATACATAACAACTGCTTGAAAACTTTTAAACTTTGACAATAACTGCTTGGCTCTCATAAATGGAAACTCAGTTTTTCACCCAATTTATCCACAAAATATGGAGTCAGTATCATTTAACCCTCCATAGTTTTAAAAGGAACAAAAGCCAACAAGTGCCTTGGAAGGGGGAATGCCAGGATATGCACTCTTTTTCATAATAACAGACACAGGTAAAAGCCTGAGTCAGCATTTTATACAGGTCAACACTGTGTGTCTGAGTAATGACTGTCAATGTTAACATGGCAACCTTGGAGGCCATACTTCTATGAACAAGGCCCCTTAGCAGGAATCACCTCACAGGCCTTAGATTTCTGAACAGTTGTTTAAAATGTAAACGTTGTAATGAATGGATAAACAGATGGATGGGGTTAGCACTGTCACACCAAAAGCACAGAAAGCTCAGGTCATGAAAGCTGCATGAAAAACATTTCCATCTTTAAAGTATATGAAGGGAATCAAGTGAACATTTAAGGTTGTTGTACCATTACATCAAATGTAATTCCTGTTAACAGACATCAAATTCATTCAATATTGTCATCTCGGATACAGCTGCTGTTGAAATATTCAATCGAGTGTTGAGGGAAGTACGGCCCCAGCAGACAAAGCTTCTTTTTCCATGCTTGCCAGTTGTCTGGAAGTATACACAATCAAAAGAGTGTACCACATAAAACAGATTTTCAGATATGCAGATCATGTTTCAGGGCTGTTTTTAGATTTTAGATGTGTGGGGGCTTAATGCATGCCATTATGGGTTTTGATGTTTTACTTCTTTTTTTCTACACAAAGAAATCACTGTAACATCTAACTCTGGAAATACTATGTCAACTAATGTCAACTGCTGTCTCCAGTTAGATCACATGTCTAAGAATGAAAAGTGTTCATCATATATCTTGACTTGTAATCTAATTTATTAATCTGATTGAAAATTTCATTCAATAATAGTTCAAATAAGTGGTTGAATTCATGTTTGAATTAACTGGCAGATTGCTAACATTAGAGAATGGATATATGTATCATAAATGCCTTTCTTTGTCCCATTATCAGTCATATGTATTCTCAAGAGTCTATTATATGTCAACATAATGTGTTTGTGATTATGTACATCCCTGTGAGACTACATGATTCTCTAATTTTAAATAAACTGAACTGTTAACTAAATTAATGGATAACCGTGATTCGTTTACCATGGTAATTATTGTGCTATCTTGTAAATTAAGTTTCATATATCACACAGTGGTACTTTTGACGCACAAACTACCGCGCCTAGCTGACAAAAAATGCACGTAACAACACTTAGACTAATAGTCCCAAACAGAGATAAATAGTCCAAGATCACTACCACCAAATTCTGCCTGTACAAAATGTAAATCAACCTTCCCATATTGTGTTGCCTGATTGTCTCAGTGTCAATAAACAATAAGTCATGTCACATAAGGTGATGTCCCCTATCAACATTAAAAAACAATGGAAACCTTTTTGAGCCATCTCTTATAGCTTTTTTTCAAATAGTTTTCATAGGGTTTAACAACACCTTCAGCCTATCCTTTATCTGTACATCTGTATATCTGTTGGAGCAATGGTCCAAGTTGAAAGTTAGGATCACCAAATCTCTTAATGAACTTTGTGCCAAATGTAACACTCTTCAAAGAACACGAGGTATAGCAGTGTAAAAAGAATGGGTGTTTTTATTTCTTGCAGTACAACTTTGTGAGGCATGGCAAACAGTTTACACACAGCTTACAGAATCTGACACAGGCTATCAGGGGAAGGCAGCGAAGGCAGGCTGACACTTGGCCAGTAGATGGGCTGGACAGGCTGGTCACGTCAGGAATGTGTCAGCAAGTATTTGGATGAACTTGCCATGATAATGGACAAATACAATTTCAAAGCAAGACCTGTAGCAAAATATTTTGTACATGAGAAAGAAATCAGCCAGTTCCATGTCGCTGCAAAAATTGTTGGCTCATGAAACTCTGTGGCCTATGAGATTTCTCAGAATGATCATCAGTCGTCACAATATTTGGATGTTTAAATGATCTGGACAGTTATTTGTGGAATCTATCCATTTTCGCCAGATATGATTGATGAATATGCTTTCCAACCTGCTGCTTTTATCCTCAGATTACACGATGAAGATAAGTTACATAGCTGTGACAGTGACTAAGAATTGTGAGTATTTTATGATAAAAGTGACTCCTGTCAGCCCAGCGACCGGTCCCAGTGCATATCTCTGTTTTCTATGCAGTTGGGGCAGTGTATGTATCTTGACTGCAAACACTAGATCCACTAACAGTATTGTTGTCCAGGGCATGTGCTTCAGACTACATTTTACTGCCCTTCCCACGAACTGCCATGCAAACCGTCCCAAGAATAACAGCTAAAAGCAGGGATGGCAACAGGAAAATCTATTTTCAGCTGAAAACTTAATATTGTGTCATCAAATGGGGGGTTCGGAATAATCAATTTGAAATAAAATCGGCAGAAATCTGCAGATCATGGAAAATTGCCATCCCTGTAAAAGAAAACACTAACTTACCTGTAAATAGTGTGCAGACTTTATTGACAAGCTACGTTTGGAAATCAAAGAGTTATAGAGACGTTTTGAATATCTATTCTTTTCAACTGCAATCTTCCGACATAGAAATGTCAGTTGGAAAGTATAAATTCTAATTCGAATGAAAAAAAATTACCCACTAACTGTACTGAGCAGTCCTACATGGCAATATATTAGCCTACATGTATTTCGTAATCCACGAATCAAGGTGACGTCACATTTTGTGTACACGAATGGGTGATGAATGCAAATGGCTTCTGTAAACTAACATTTCAGTCATGAGTAGAATATTTTCAATTTGCTGAATCGATGAATTAAATGATCAGATAGTACCAAATGAATTGTACATTTAAACCATGATTTACACTGCGCTTCCCTTATGTCCACAAAACAAGGGCACATGAGGCTGTATTGTAAAAGCTGCCATAGATATAACCAATACTGGAAAATATTATGCCATTATGAATTATTATAAAATGAAAGTTTTACAGTTCTTTCTAGCATTGCATCAAATATCTTTATAGCTATATTATTGGATACATTTTAACTGAATCATCAGTAGATTTAAAGAAAATTTGAGTACAGCTGATTGTTGTTTCTGGCATAGTTTACACACAGCAATCTTAATCTCTAAAACAATGAGTCATAGAGGAAATAAACTTAAACTGGAAATCAGTGTCTCTATTGACGTATTTCACATTCCATACTTTTATTGTCAAATTTTGTTACCGCACATGTTCGTTTTCCTGAATTTGATGAAGGGATACAATGGTTAATTTTTTTCTGCACATAATTCTTGAAAACTATATATATCCAGAATACTGTCTTCACTAGAGAGGTGTGCATACTATGCTCAAGAAAATACAGGATTCATAAGAAGCTAGTTATAGATTGTTAATGAGATTTTAATCAGTCACAATTGGTTTCCTAAACAACATTGGAAATTTTAATATAAATTGTATATTTATATACTAAATCTATCTCACGATTTGCACTTCTCTCTCTTGCTTCGACGCTGTGTGGAACGAATGAGAACTTTTCCTGTAGGCCTCTCTTGTCCATAAGCCCGTGTTCCCCAGGCTGCTCTCTTTATAGGACAGGTCCCTAGTCCCTGGCAAAGCATGCAGCATGTTCCCCTATCTACCCACGTGACTATTTCAGAGTGATCATTCTCTTCTTGGAGCCAATGACAGTTATACGTAACCGTCATAATCTGAGTAGAGGGGAGGTTTGGTGGGCATCCTTCGCGTAAGATAGGATAAGTATATAAATATACAATTTATATTAAAATTTCTAAATTTTTAAACTTATCCTATCTCACAATTTGCACTTCTTGGACAGTGGGTCGCAGATTACCTTAAGTCAAAAGGCACTGACAGTATATGCTGTACAGGCAAACAAGGCATCATTTCTCCTAAGGAGTGGGTGCTCCCGAGCGATGTGGTGTTCAGCCACAGGAGCCAACTAGCATAGTACCTATACTAAAGTACTGTCGGAAATAGAAAAAAACTGTATTTTCTCATTTATCTCTACAATTGATGTAGTTGATATGTGCAAGTGTGAAATATCTCTTAAACTAAGTTCGGCCTAACAACAGTCTCAATGGTAGGGACACAAGAAACGTAGAAAAAGGACTTTACTGAGGAGAGATTAGTGCAGAAATGTGCAATGCAATTTTTTTCTAAGTCCAAAACGAATTATTTGGAACAGACCATGGCTGTATGCAAATTAGTGTCGTCGATATTGTATTATAAAGGACACTTTTTAAGTGACCAATTGGAAATTAGACGTAGCTTCATTATAAACGATAGCTGGCGTAAAAAATAATAACTTTCATGCTGAAACTATTAAGGATGTAGCTACCATGGAGTCTCACTGTCACTATAAAAAGAAACAGATAGGAGGGTTCGTCTCAAAAGCAAAACCTGGACAGGTGTCGCAGACGATCGTTGGGGTCGGGCTTGGGGATAGAGATATCAGCTAAGATACGATAATCCTTTAGGGCAATTATACTGGGGAAGTACATGGCATGTCATAACAATTTACAAATAATATCCAGTCCTGTCGATCTTCGCGATCGGGTGGTCATGCCACCTATATATTTTGAGACATTTGATACGATGCGTTTCTATGGTTATCAGGTATCAAACTCTTTTACATATCTCAACATAAACTTTATGAACGAAAGACACTTAAGCTGTTGATCAATAGATGAGGCATAGTCAACACACATGAAAAAGCACAAAATATCTTTGAGATGACCCCTTGGGCGCCTGTAGGCAGCACATGCATTTCATGCCAGGTGAGTCGACGGTCCGTCGTCATACCTGGCTGAGCGACCTAATTGCCATCTATAGTCTGATCTATTGTTTTCAGCAGCTATTCGTATTTTTTCTAAGATTTCTGGATATCCTATTACGCTTCCCACTGAATGCCAAGTTAGGCCGAAGTGGGTTCTTTCGACCTCTGCTATTTGCAGTTGTGTAAATTTTAGGGATACAGAGTAAGAGCCTAAAAACAGTTTTTTTCTATTTCCAACAGTACTATAGTGATGGGTTCTCCTGAACCCCTTGGGTTACCAGGCACCATCGCTTCCAAGGAGTGGGTGCTCCCGAGTGATGTGGAGTTCGGCCGCAGGATCCGACTAGTACCGTATATGACCGTCTATAAGCCGACCCCATGGATAAGCCGACCCCCAAACTTGACCCTCAAAATCAGTGTCAAAATCATATCTCTCATGGATAGGCCGCCCCCCCGCGATGGGTCGCGGCCAACAGAGACCAGAGTACCCGGTAAGTATGTTCCATCAACGACGAGACACCATTACGAGAATATTACATAATAAAGATTACCGGTGTTTGTTTACCTTTTTTTAACGATCACTGCTTGCATCAACAACGAGACGCCATTTGGAAAGTGGATATACAGCGTAAGTGTTGGTGAGAATATTACATAATAAAGATTACCAGTGTATTGTGGCAACATGTGTTTGTGTTCCTTTTTATCCCGGCGATCACTGCTTGCATCAACAACGAGACGCCATTTTGTGAAATCGGTGAGTATGGAAATGTGAACCCGGGAGAAAAAGTACCATCGGTAAATAAAAACTGAAGTCAACTTTTGTTTCAAAATATATTATTTAAGTGTCCATATTTCATCTATATATATATGACAATAAGAAAAATAGTCCACTAACAATAAACACGCGACAAACTCATCCCACAGACAACTGGCAGTTACCAATAATTATAACTTTGGTCCACATTATTCAAAGAATTCACTGTCATATATATTGTGTCTACTCACGGATCGAAACGAAGTGTAGTTGACAGAAAATGCATAATATATTTTGCTTCTCTAAATATCATATTTATTGTAGCAACAAACTGGCTTGCTTATTTTACCCCATTCAACAATCACAAACTGATTACCGCCTCGTTCCATGTCACGTGCTTACCACGTTCATGATGGTCCGTATAACCTTAGTGTTGATTATATATTTTTTACATAAAAACTATTACACAATGCTAGGATATATTTCTTTTGGTTAAATAATAGTATTCAATCAATAGAATTCACCCGTTATATTATTGTGCATGTTTGAACTTGTTCAAGGGGAAGCGTGTGCACAGCTGATTGTTATTTCGGCTTTGTGTGCAGACAAATACGCACGCGGTAATCTTAATTAATTTATAGAGCAAAAATGTAACTAAAATTACACAATGCTAGGATATATTTCTTTGGGTTAAATAACGGTATTCTGTATTATATTTTACTGATGACTGCGTCAGAATTAGTCCCGTTATATTATTGTGCATGTTTGAACTTGTTAAGCAGGAAGCGTGTGCACAGCTGATTGCTATTTCGGCTTTGTGTAATGCGAGACAAATACGCACAGTAATCTTAATCCCTGCAAATAAAACAATGCCCAGCAAAAACAACTTATAACTTAAATGGTAATTAATCTTGTCTAGTGATGTTTAATTGCAAATTTGACGTCTCTACTGACAAAGTCGTCGTCTGTTGTTTGTTCACGCGAAGTGATACGATGTTGTTTTCTTACCCCTGGAAAAAAGTTTGTCGAAAGTGTAACTCATGGATAAGACAACCCCCTTCTACAGACTGCTTTTTTTGGTCCTCAAAATTCGGCTTATAGACGGTCATATACGGTACTTATACTAGTGATGGGTTCTCCTGAACCCCTTGGCTTACTAGGCACCATTGCTTCCAAGGAGTGGGTGCTCCCGAATGATATGGAGTTCGGCCGCAGGATCCGACTAGTACTTATACTAGTGATGGGTTCTCCTGAACCCCTTGGCTTACTAGGCACCATCGCTTCCAAGGAGTGGGTGCTCCCGAGTGATGTGGAGTTCAGCCGCAGGATCCGACTAGTACTTATACTAGTCATGTGTTTTCCTGAACCCCTTGATATACTAGGCATCATTGCTCCCAAGGAGTGGGTGCTCCGGAGCAATGTGGTGTTCGGCCACAGGATCCAACTAGCATAGTACCTACACTAGTGATAGGTTCTCCTGAACCCCTTGGCTTACTAGGCACCATCGCTCCCAAGGAATGGGTGCTCCTGAGTGATGTGGTGTTCGGCCGCAGGATCCGACTAGCATAGTACCTACACTAGTGATAGGTTCTCCTGAACCCCTTGGCTTACTAGGCATCATCGCTCCCAAGGAGTGGGTGCTCCTGAGTGATATTGTTTTCGGCCGCAGGATCCGACTATCATAGTACCTACACTAGTGATGGGTTCTCCTGAACCTCTTGGCTTACTAGGCACCATCGCTCACAAGGAGTGGGTGCTCCTGAGTGATGTGGAGTTCGGCCACAGGATCCGACTAGCATAGTACCTATACTAGTGATGGGTTCTCCTGAACCTCTTGGCTTACTAGGCACCATCGCTCCCAAGGAGTGGGTACTCCTGAGTGATGTTGTGTTCGGCCGCAGGATCCGACTAGCATAGTACTTATACTAGTGATGGGTTCTCCTGAACCCCTTGGCGTACTAGGCATCATCGCTCCCAAGGAATGGGTGCTCCTAAGCGATGTGGTGTTCGGCCGCAACCCTCGCATACGCAAGAAAACGCAATTAGGCAAGTCACCTTGCTTCGCCACGATTTATCAGAGTACCCCCGCAATTACCACCTGCTTCGAGACAGCCCCCCAGACCCTATCACGAAACTGAATCGGAAAGCTCACAAGTTTAATGTTCAGTACCAAAACAACATCACATGACTTCCACTACTTACCACAGTTAGGTCACAACGGTGTGCTAAGGTAATCCATAAGGAAATCGGGAAGGACTCACTACACTGACGTGATTGCTCCATGGAGTAGAGGTCAGCAAGCGAGATTGTCGAACACTTCTACATCCGTAGGAAGCAATGACAAGGTAGGCCAATAACTACCAAGGTCACTACGTGTGATGGTTAGTTCAAACCCACTGACTTACTGAGCACAATTGCTCCCAGGGACCGGGACTCCCGAGCAATGTGTAAACAGTCGCATCACCGAGATTGCCAAGGTACCCCCGTAATAAAAGTCTAACGACTAGTATCGGGCCAGCCCCTGCTTCGAAACAACCCCCCAGACACCGTCGCGTGGAGGGTGAACAGGTAACTGAATCGAAAACTCACAATTTTAACGTTCAGTACCACAACATCATCTTATGACTTCCATTACTTACCACAGTAAGATCACATAGATGTGTACAGGTCCTTAGGAGCATGAACGCTACGAAGTGTAACACTTCAGGAATGACTCACTTCACTGACGTAATTACTCCATAGAGCAGAGGACAGTAAGTGCGGTGGCGACTCTCCAGAGTCTCAAATTAAATTGAGAGGAGAAATCTAAGTTCCCGGAAGAATCCAAGACACAAATCTGAAAAAAAATTCAGAATTTTATTCAGATTGTACACAAAGCAGAAACGATCGCAACTGGTGATCATGTACGCTGAAGCTGATGGTTGTACCGAGTGGCGAACAGGTCTACATCTGGTCGTGGTAACATAGATTGGAATATCAGAGGCACTAGTTTCCACTCAATGGGTGACGGGGTGTTTGGGACATGACAGGGCATTGGCAATGAATTATGGCTAGCAAGCTTATCTAGTAATGCCCTATCGGGTGGTTGTAGAGCTGATATCTACGCCGAAGGGTAGATTCGGTGAACCGAACCATTCATCAAAGGTGAAGATCGGATGGTAGATTAAATCTGGAATGAGATGAGAACAGGGATTGTCAGACCGTCAAGTGCCGAGCGTAATATGCCTAGATGACTGCGCTACTGACATCAAATGTAAATCGATTCGGCATGGTGAAGCACGTAGCTACTACCTCAACCAGCAGAAAAAAAGGGTACCAGGTGGGATAAGTTATGTGACTAAAAACTTTAAGTGCCTCACAAGCCGTAAGGTAAACCAGATAAACAAATCAGATTGTCGTGCTTAGAGCTTGGCACTGCGTGGTAAGAAATTCAGCGCCTCACAGATACCCTGAAAACTAGGATCATGTTGAAAACTAGCAGAGTTTGACAAATTTGGCCGTATCTAGATGCAAGTTCATGAACCTCGTTGAGGATGTAAACAGTGTTGACAAGTACCGATCCTTCATGTTGAATGTAATCAATTGAACATCTGGTATCTTGCTCTAGATAGCTGTAGGCGGTCGGCAAACCAAGCGATCCTGTGTGTCAAATCAACCAAAACAATTCCTGCATCTTAAAGGCGACTGGCATAGCCCGAACCATGAAAACAAAGACGAGGTTCGATGTGGGTTAAGTGTCTTGGGAGGCATCCCAGACACAATTTGCATAGGCTCTGATAGGCTGGTAAGATGCGCGCTGTGTTGGAAATAACACGAGTGGCGAATCGCGAATTGGTAGGCAAGGTCCGAGGAATGGAGTATTGACGAATGCTGACAGTTCGATGAATGCTGACGATTCAGTGATCTTGAACGGTCAGGTGAACTGGTTCGGCGTTATGAAGCGGTTCGGCCTTGTGAAACGATAAGAGTCGGGCTGGTAAATCGGTTCAGGATGGTGAGTTGGCACGTTGATGTGATCTGGATCAGTCCGTGATCACACAGAGTGGTTCGATGAGGCGGAACGACAAGTAGACATCTGAAGATGCGCCAATAAAATCATCACCTTCCAACATGGGAATCTTCGAACGACGAGCAGTTAATACTGGTCATTGAAAGCGGGGTTTGTCGGGTGATCAACTGTTGAAGTGTAACAAGCCCTGTCTGCCAGCCAACGGGAGCAAGCATGTCTATATGCTCTAAAAAACGTCTTTGATAAGGGAGCATATTCCCGATAGCACTTGCTCCAGGAACACAGGTCAATACAAACCACACATGACGAGTGGGGATCCGAGGAAGAAAATATTGTTACACTGTGCGCAAAATTACGCTACTTAGGGTCACCTAAGTATGATATATTTCTCATGTTAACTTGTAAGGAAAATTGAGAACTCTCACAATACGTCCACACAGTGGTGCGACAAGAAGAAGAATGATCACTCACAGGTAGTCACGTGGGTAGATAGGGGAACGTGCTGCACGCTTAGCCAGGGACTAGGGACCTGTCTTATAAAGAGAGCAGCCTGGGGAACACAGGTGTATGGACAAGAGAGGCCTACAGGAAAAGTTCTCATTCGTTCCACTCAGCATCGAAGCAAGAGAGAGAAGTGCAAAACGTCAGATAGGATAAGTTTAAAAATTAACAAACTAGTTTTCAGTTTATTTTACTTAAATATCAAAGGAAAAAGTAATTCTTCTTTTGAAAAACACATGTGTAACATGAAACAAATAATAACAGATTATTCTATGCATTAAGTGATTTACTTAGAATGCATTTACATTTGAATGATATACTTCGTCTACTGACATACTTTTGAAAATGTTTTCACATTTAACATCAATGGATGGATTGATGGATGAATCGATAGATGAATAGAAAGACAGATGGAGAGACACATACAGACAAAAGGCCATTAGCTAACAATCCATGAAATTACATACCTTCTAAGTTTGGTAACCTTTGCTTTCAGTTCCTTGTCAAATTCACGAATCTTTGTAATCTCTGCCCAGGCTTCCTCTTCTGGTTTTTGGTTGACTTGGCACCTCAAATACAGGCCACTCCACAAGGACTATAGAGAAACAATGAGAGTGAGCTCACATTATATAAGAGCAGTTACATATCAACTAACAAAGACCTTACATTACACAATAGAAGTATCCCAATCCTATGATATCCTGAAAAATCCCAAAATATGGTCTGAGCTATCTTAATAACAAAGTAACAAAAAATTAATCATTATCATATCTGACTTACGTAGGCCCTGGTTTCTACCTAGCTGTCTAACACTGCCTGATAGTGAGTTTTAGTTTATGCTGTTTTTAGCAATATTCCAGAAATATTATAACGGAGGACACCAGAATTGGGCTTCACACAACAAGTAGAAAACAACATACCAGACTTTGTGGTGCTACAGATGGCCAGATGACTGATGGATTGGGATCATACATTGGATTGAGATATTGTTGCAGAATCTCAGGCCGGTTGATGAAGGACCTACAAGAAAGAATAAGGAAATCTGTGGTAACTGCCTTAACTTGATTACATGCTTGACGTGTACCTTAATGATAGAACTTTATGGATAACAACTTCTTGTTTACTGCATAGATCAATGTTTCAATGTAATAGAAATACAACATAGTAATAGTAATAATCATGTCATGGATTCTCTGGATCATTTCCCATGTTGCAAACGGGCCTTCAAGAACAGTGATTGTCTTCAAATCTCTCCCTGCTTGAACACTACTGCCCACTTCTTTAAAAGTGGCATAGACAAGAGATGTTTGGAAAGAGGCGAGGTTTTCCAGCCTTTGTCAACAAAAGACCAGTGAGCTGAGAGTGCTACTGCTTGACTGACCAGTCGCGTAGAGTTGATAGGAAACAGTACTTCTGTCGAAAATATGCAGTTTAGTTTCAGAGTGAATGCAGTTATAGTGGCTGGCCTTTACCAGCATGCTCTTCACTCAATCACTTCCCATACATTCTGGGTCAGGAGAGATCAGGATTCATGGCTGACCAGTTACGATATATGCACGGTGGCTACATCTATTGGAGTCAGTATGTCGTCTTGGTAGTACTGTCAAGTGACTCTTTCATGGACAACATACATGGTCATTATCCCATCCAGTATAGGTACAGACCCACACCAAAATCTATTATGCTGCCTAGTGTTGATGTTCACATGACTTTCAATAGAGTGCCAGAAAGTTCACACTGAATCTGGACTCAACCAAAAACCTTGCATGAGAGTTCAGACCACATAATCTCTAAACACCACTGGCATTGTGCTTGATTGTGTCGATTTCTTAGCGCTGGTACAACACATAGTTGCCAAGAATGCAAACAATTTCCTTTTGTTTGGTCACTAATTTGAACTCTGACACGAGTGACCATAGGTGATGAAATAAATTGGATCTGCAACCAAATATATCATGGCTAGTATTGTAACCCAGTGATGTCCCAGGTGATGAAGTAAATTGGACCCCAAACACCTATATCATGTCTAGTATTGGAACCCAGTGATGTCCCCCAGGTGGTGAAGTAAATTGGACCCCAAACACCTATATCATGTCTAGCATTGGAAACCAGTGATGTCCCAGGTGATGAAGTAAATTGGACCTGCAACCACATATATCATGTCTGGTACTGTAACCGAGTGATGTCCCAGGTGGTGAAGTAAATTGGACCCCAAACACCTATATCATGTCTAGTATTGGAATCCAGTGATGTCCCAGGTGATGAAGTAAATTGGACCTGCAATCACATATATCATGTCTAGTATTGTAACCCAGTGATGTCCCAGGTGATGAAGTAAGTTGGACCTGCAATCACATATATATCATGTCTAGTATTGTAATCCAGTGATGTCCAAGGTAATGAAGTAAATTGGACCTGCAACTACATACATCATATCTAGTATTGTAACCCAGTGATGTCCCAGGTGATGAAGTAAATTGGACCTGGAACCACATATATCATGTCTGGTACTGTAACCCAGTGATGTCCCAGGTGGTGAAGTAAATTGGACCTGCAACCACATATATCATGTCTGGTACTGTAACCCAGTGATGTCCCAGGTGGTGAAGTAAATTGGACCCCAAACACCTATATCATGTCTAGTATTGTAACCCAGTGATGTCCCAGGTGATGAAGTAAATTGGACCTGCAATCACATAAATTAAGTCTATAATTGTAATACAGTGATGTCCCAGGTGATGAAGTAAGTTGGACCTGCAATCACATATATATCATGTCTAGTATGGTAGACCAGTGATGTCCCAGGTGATGAAGTAAATTGGACCTGCAACCACATATATCATGTCTATAATTGTAATACAGTGATGTCCAAGGTGATGAAGTAAGTTGGACCTGCATTCACATATATATCATGTCTAGTATGGTAGCCCAGTGATGTCCCAGGTGATGAAGTAAATTGGACCTGCAACCACATATATCATGTCTATAATTGTAATACAGTGATGTCCAAGGTGATGAAGTAAATTGGACCTGCAATCACATATATCATGTCTAGTATTGAAACCCAGTGATGTCCCAGGTGATGAAATAAATTGGACCTGCAATCACATATATCATGTCTATAATTGTAATACAGTGATGTCCTAAGTGATGAAGTAAGTTGAACCTGCAATCACATATATATCATGTCTATAATTGTAATACAGTGATGTCCCAGGTGATGAAGTAAGTTGGACCTGCAACCACATATATCATGTCTATAATTGTAATACAGTGATGTCCCAGGTGATGAAGAAAATTGGACCTGCAATCACATAAATCATGTCTATAATTGTAATACAGTGATGTCCCAGGTGATGAAGTAAGTTGGACCTGCAATCACATATATCCCATCATGTCTAGTATGGTAATCACATATATATCATGTCTAGTGATGTCGACCAGTGATGTCCCAGGTGATGAAGTAAATTGGACCTGCAACCACATATATCATGTTTATAATTGTAATACAGTGATGTCCCAGGTGATGAAGTAAATTGGATCAGCAACCACATATATCATGTCTATAATTGTAATACAGTGATGTCCCAGGTGATGAAGTAAGTTGGACCTGCAATCACATATATATCATGTCTAGTATTGTAACCCAGTGATGTTCCAGGTGATGAAGTAAATTGGACCTGCAACCACATATATCATGTCTGGTACTGTAACCCAGTGATGTCCCAGGTGGTGAAGTAAATTGGACCTGCAAAAACATATATCATGTCTGGTACTGTAACCCAGTGATGTCCCAGGTGGTGAAGAAACTGGACCTGCAACCACATATATCATGTCTGGTACTGTAACCCAGTGATGTCCCAGGTGGTGAAGTAAATTGGACCCCAAACACCTATATCATGTCTAGTATTGGAACCCAGTGATGTCCCAGGTGATGAAGTAAATTGGACCCTCCCCAAAAAACCCCACATATATCATGTCTAGTATTGTAACCCAGTGATGTCCCAGGTGATGAAGTAAATTGGACTTCCAACCACATATATAGTGTCTAGTATTGTAACACAGTGATGTCCCAGGTGATGAAGTAGATTGGACCTGCAACCACATATTTCATGTCTGGTACTGTAACCCAGTGATGTCCCAGGTAATGAAGTAAATTGGACCTGCAACCACATATATCATGTCTAGTATTGTAACCCAGGTGATGAAGTAAATTGGACCTGCAACCACATATATCATGTCTGGTACTGTAACCGAGTGATGTCCGAGGTGATGAAGTAAATTGGACCTGCAACCACATATATCATGTCTAGTATTGTAACCCAGTGATGTCCCAGGTGATGAAGTAAATTGGATCTGGAACCACATATATCATGTCTATAATTGTAATACAGTGATGTCCCAGGTGATGAAGTAAGTTGGACCTGCAATCACATATATATCATGTCTAGTATTGTAACCCAGTGATGTTCCAGGTGATGAAGTAAATTGGTCCCCAAACACCTATATCATGTCTAGTATTGGAACCCAGTGATGTCCCAGGTGATGAAGTAAATTGGACCTGCAACCACATATATCATGTCTAGTATTGTAACCCAGTGATGTGCCAGGTGATGAAGTAAATTGGACCTCCAACCACATATATCATGTCTAGTATTGTAACACAGTGATGTCCCAGGTGATGAAGTAAATTGGACCTGCAACCACATATATCATGTCTAGTATTGTAACCCAGTGATGTCCCAGGTGATGAAGTAAATTGGACCTGCAACCACATATATCATGTCTAGTATTGTAACCCAGTGATGTCCAAGGTGATGAAGTAAATTGGACCTGCAACCACATATATCATGTCTGGTACTGTAACCCAGTGATGTCCCAGGTGGTGAAGTAAATTGGACCTGCAACCACATATATCATGTCTGGTACTGTAACCCAGTGATGTCCCAGGTGGTGAAGTAAATTGGACCCCAAACACCTATATCATGTCTAGTATTGGAACCCAGTGATGTCCCAGGTGATGAAGTAAATTGGACCTGCAACCACATATATCATGTCTGGTACTGTAAACGAGTGATGTCCCAGGTGATGAAGTAAATTGGACCTGCAACCACATATATCTCATGTCTAGTATTGTAACCCAGTGATGTCCCAGGTGATGAAGTAAATTGGATCTGCAACCACATATATCATGTCTATAATTGTAATACAGTGATGTCCCAGGTGATGAAGTAAGTTGGACCTGCAATCACATATATATCATGTCTAGTATTGTAACCCAGTGATGTTCCAGGTGATGAAGTAAATTGGACCTGCAACCACATATATCATGTCTGGTACTGTAACCCAGTGATGTCCCAGGTGGTGAAGTAAATTGGACCTGCAAAAACATATATCATGTCTGGTACTGTAACCCAGTGATGTCCCAGGTGGTGAAGAAATTGGACCTGCAACCACATATATCATGTCTGGTACTGTAACCCAGTGATGTCCCAGGTGGTGAAGTAAATTGGACCCCAAACACCTATATCATGTCTAGTATTGGAACCCAGTGATGTCCCAGGTGATGAAGTAAATTGGACCCTCCCAAAAACCCACATATATCATGTCTAGTATTGTAACCCAGTGATGTCCCAGGTGATGAAGTAAATTGGACTTCCAACCACATATATAGTGTCTAGTATTGTAACACAGTGATGTCCCAGGTGATGAAGTAGATTGGACCTGCAACCACATATTTCATGTCTGGTACTGTAACCCAGTGATGTCCCAGGTGATGAAGTAAATTGGACCTGCAACCACATATATCATGTCTAGTATTGTAACCCAGTGATGTCCCAGGTGATGAAGTAAATTGGACCTGCAACCACATATATCATGTCTGGTACTGTAACCGAAAGTGATGTCCGAGGTGATGAAGTAAATTGGACCTGCAACCACATATATCATGTCTAGTATTGTAACCCAGTGATGTCCCAGGTGATGAAGTAAATTGGATCTGGAACCACATATATCATGTC